TAGTTAATTTCAAACCCTGGTTATTGACAAGTACTAGGCCACGTTCACGCAGCAGCAGAATATGGTTGTCAGTCCTGTTTTTGAGTCCTTAATACGGTTATGTTCACACACAGTTTGGTTATTTATGGGCGTGACAACCGCATTCTGTAACTAAACTCCCACCCGTAAATTTTCAGGACTCACAACCGCATTCTCGGAACACACACGCTGTGTGAACGGAACAGGACTGGACAACTAGTTGTCTGTCATGTCATACAGTGCGAGAGAGAGCCGCTCTGCCGCACAAACGTGTGTCTAACGTATGTTACATGTTTTCACGTGCGTTTTCGGTAATTTCCATCTGAACGTTTTAGAGCCCGTCAGTTTTCCACCAGAGCCGCTCCCGTCAGTTTTGTGTTCTGCGTGTGATTCAAATGCTCTGCTCTCCACCCAAATTTAAAAGCTGCTGTTGGTTAATGAAGATTTGACAAAAGAACTCGCAGCTCGATTGGACTCTTGTCATGTCAGAAAGTGATAAGACTTTCAGTTTTATGGACGTCGCCATCTTTGATTTTACTTTGGTCACTGTCACTATGGTTACTGATAAAGAATACGGGCTTAACTCCCGTTGCACGTTCATACAGACAGTATTCTAAACACAACTGTAAGCTGCTGTGTGAATGGGACATTTCAAAACTCACACCTGTAAAGAAAATGCGGTTGTCAATCCCAAAAACTTGACAGTGTGAACGTAGCCCTAGCTACTGTCAGAATCAATACTAGTATCTAATGAACCAACACCAGCAATAGCAGAGATATTGAACAAATATACTAGTCACTATTAAATTATATAGTAATTGTAGTAGTTATACAATTAAATATAATAGTAATTAAATAACAGACACTAGTAACACAAAAATAAATCAACACAGAAAAAAATAAAAACAAAATAGCAAAAAAATAAACACATTTCAATTTTTGAATATTTAATGTTGCAATGGCTTGCCATAACCCTATACACTCAGCATATACACAAAAATCAAACCCAACAACCAAGATGAATCTTACTTACTGCCAGTTGAAATGTGCTTTTGCTTCCTCAAACCCATAATCTTCATGATCATGGAGATACTCTGCATGGGTGGATGTGTTCCACATTACCTGGAAGCATGCAGAAAGGACACAACTTTATGAGCGTTTTTATTTGACAGCACTACTCACATTCACCTAATCAATTTAGAGTAAGGATAAAGGGGAAAACAAATACCTTTTTAGGAACACAACCAACATTCACCTGTAGAAGAAAGAGAAGTTGTTTAACGAACCAAGTCAATAATATCACCAGACAAGCATGCATAGGTGCTGGTGCAAACCATTACACACAAAAACACCCCACAAAAAGCGCTGGATCTGGAGGCTTCCCAAAGCACCTCTGTTCATGTGACTAATGCAGCGACCAATTACTGTAAATAACTCGTCTAAAGAACACATCTACGTGGCTCTAAGGGAAATGTGGTGTTGCAGGAGCAGGACGGTTTTTACTCACGCAGGTACCTCCGAGTTTGTGACTTTCGATCACGGCTGCAGTGGCACCGAGTTCAGCCGCCCGCCGCGCACCGGCCAGCCCTCCGGATCCTCCGCCAATCACCAGAAAATCAAAGCGCGTAACGGATTCAGAGGCCATGCTGCGACCGAAGAGTCTACGAGAAGATGACAGCGAACGTCCAAGAGTAAGAAAAGACGCTCGCAGTCGAGCCAGAGGGATTAATATCTCCATAAGCAGGAAGCCAACACCCCGGCCAACGCAGTAGTTGAACTAATGGGAGGGACGTGAAAGCCTGTGCTTAGTCATTGTGAATTGACACAATAGTGTGTAAATCCCAGAAGCAAATTTGGACAATAGTCATCATAGTTACCCATGCTTATTAAAGTACTTCACTGTCAATCCCATCCCCAATATCCAGGGTGCTGAATTTACTTTTAACTCACTTGGCGCCTAGTCATGTTGAAACAGACAACAGTCTGCTTTATTTGATAATGGGAAATATTTCGTAAAAAAAAAAAAACAATTCTCTGAACACAAACTCACCGATGAATTGCAGCCGTTACATATATAACTGTAGCGGAAATCCTTTTGCAGTACATTGTAAACATGTAACAAATGAAGTGTGGTTAATTAGAGGTGCTGAGCTACAAACTCAGTTATATATGTGTGTATATGGGACCAGTGTTGGGGAAAGTTACTTTTAAAAGTAATGCATTACAATATTGCGTTACCCCATAAAAAGTAACTAATTACGTTACTTTGTTACTTTTTATGGAAAGTAATGCGCTACGTTACTTTTGCGTTACTTTTTAAATCTGGACAGGGCGTGTTTGTTTGATTTTAAAATAAAAAAGTTATATTTTTGGCAAATATAAAAGCCTTTAAAAATGAATAAGCCTCAGGCTGAAGGGAAAGTAAATTTACGTCTGTACAGTAGAATGCAGAAGAAGAAATTTCAACACACTTCAGCAATAAAAAAAGACACAAAATATTTGTCTAGAGTAATTTGTGCTTATTAGTATGGTTGAACTGGATCATCGAAGGTCAGAAGCAAAGACATTGGTTAATAGAATGGGATTTAATACATAAAGGATATTTGTGTTGTTTAACATTTAATTATTGCAGGTTTGCGTCATATTCTGAGTTGCATTTTTTTAATTCATTTTGAGGAATACTGAATCTGTGTGTTTTTTTTGTGTGAGTGAGATGAATTAATGCATATTCATTTTTATTTTAGATCTACTGTAACATCTTCTGATTCCTCTCAACATGGGGACAGGAGAGCTGTCAATCAATAAATTGGAAAAAAAAGTAACTTGCGTTACTTATTTGAAAAAGTAACTCAGATATTCTCTTGTAAATTAAAAAGTAATGCGTTACTTTACTAGTTTCTTGAAAAAAGTAATCTGATTACGTAACTCACGTTACTTGTAATATATTACCCCCAACACTGTATGGGACATTCTACCAGAAATGTACATGATCTGTCCTTGACTTGTTACAGTGAATAAAAAGTATGTCTAAAACTGACTGATGGTTGATTTCTGTGAGTTGTTCTGTAAAGCAATATGTCATTCATTCGGTTCTCAGATATTTTATTTATTAATTTATTAAAATCCCTTTTGAAAATTACAAATCCTGTCCTTGTCCTTGTCCTCAGACAAATTGGACCTACAGCTTTCATAGTTTTGTTATGCTAAAAACTGTTATTTATGAAAAAAAACTCCAACAAGTTTAAGTTGTTATCATTCACATCAACTGATTCAAAACATGAAATTCTACATAAATTCTACAAATAAATACTATTTTACAACTGTCCCCATGTTTTCGGTCAGTCCTGTCACGTTTACATAAAACTCAACATAAAATGTGTGTAATGCGCCTTTAAAGGTATGACTCAAAGGAAGTGACATAATTTGACTGAGGTGAAGCTGACACTGATCAAGGGTGAGTTCTGTCATTGCATTGTATGATTTTAAGCTTGTTTTTGTATGTTTTTCTTTGAGGAGGACAAGCTAAAAGGTCAGGCCCTGTCACGATAAAACATCCCAGAAAAGAATGAAAATCTTTTAAATCCAAAACATGTCTAAAAAAGTTACTGAAATTCCTTGATTGCATGTTAACAGTTGTTAAGCAAGCAGGCCGAGTAATGGCAGTTTAAAATGGCCGACCGTCAGGCCCTGTCATATCTCTGTGTGACAGGGCCTGACAAATAAATGGCATTGTTGTTTTGTATTACCTTTATTGCATATAATATGTATTTAACGCATGCCATAGTAAAACATTATTTTTTTATATTCCTTATAGAAATTACAAAACCATGTTAGATACAATCAGGGACATGTGACCAATAAGAAAATGCTATTTGTATCAAAGAAATTCATTAGGAAACCATTCTAACATATACAAATTGGTCTGTGACAGGGCCTGAAATTTTAGGGGTGAAATGCGTATAAAATGTATTTATTTCAATCCTAAAAACATGCTGAGATGGCATGATATGTGCTTCATATAGATTAACATGTCCTCCATATGACTCAACTTTCAGATTTAAGAATAAGAGATTTATTAAGAATAAGAGATTTTTACAAGTGGAAATGTACATTTCTGGTAGAATGTCTCATATATGCTGCCCATCTTCATATTCATGCGGTAGTGTTTATAACGGAATGTGTCGATGTAAACTGAAGTCAGAATGAAAGCTACTATAAGCTTAGCTAAACTGAGCATGCCACTGAACACATTATGACAGAGGAGGCCTTATATTAATATACACTGGAAGGAATGGAAATTAGTATTGTTTTCGGTAGTCATAGCGTTCAGAATTTTTGGGGTCAGTAAGATTATTTCTAAATAAAATACTTTTTATACTAATGCAATGACACATTGAATGCATCAAATATGACAGTAAGGATATTTGCAATGTTATTCTTTTGAACTTTCTATTCATCAAAGAACCCTGAAAACTGCTTTCAACATTGATACTATTAAAAAAAATAATCTTGAGCAGCAAATCAGCACATTAGAATGATTTCTGAAGAATCATGTGACTAGACTAGAGTAGTGGCTGCTGCTGAAAATCAACATTGCTATCTTAGGAATAAATTACGTTTTAAAATATAATAAAATCAAATATTTTAAATGACACTAATATTTCACAATATTACTGTTGTTCACTTCTGAAGAAATAAATGCAGCATTAGTGACATAAAATCTTTCCCACCTCATTTGAACAATCGTGGCATTGTTGCGTGTTCTGTTAACACTTTATTGGGCATATCTAAATAAATACATAACCATATATTTGAATGTATTAATTTGCAGCTTGTGGTTCCTTGTGCCAATGACAACATTTAGGGTTTTGTAAAACCTCTACCAAGTAATTAAGATGTCCATGAATAGTAGAAGGAGGGTAAATTGGTACATTTGTCAGCTTTCTGTACTGACATAGATCATTCACACTGAAAAAGGCATGACCACTCCAAATATTTTAATGAAATTCGTTAAACGTGGGAAATCTTTACATGGCAGACAGCAGACTTGCTCATAGTCATAGAAGTCAAATATCATTATCACGTATAAATCCTCAACTGTTTTCCAAAACAAAAATAAATCTCTATAGAACACAATAAAACTTGCCTTCACATGTACCATGGTATCCAGTAGCAGGAGCAAAACAAGCACTTGCCAGAAGACACCTGTATTTCAAATATTTATGAAGAACACAATAAATTAGGATAAATCTGAGTGATGCATCATATTAAGGTACTTTATTAAACAACTAAACTGAATCAAAGTGATTAATTGGCAACAAGTCAGAAATCCATTTTTCACAAATATTTTCTTTACTGAACAGAAACAAGAAGTTAGAGATGGACGCATCCTCAGCGGAGCGATTTCATTGGTCATTCTCATAGTCTGCGTGGTTCTTTTTTTTGGTCTGTTCATGAACATGATTTCCCCATGTGTAGGTCAGGTACATCAGAACCATGGCTGTAAACAGAGATACAGGTTTATAGAGAAGTTTAGTCACACACAATGTTCGCTTCAGTATCACTATAGATGATATATTTCAAAAATAATTAATTTTGGACAAAGATGACTTACGTGGTGCAACCTTGAATACAGATGTTTTGAATCGTCTCCAAACATTTGGGATTCCCTTAGAAAAGTAGTTTGGGAAAGCCCTCTGCTCAAAGGGAGAAATACTGTAGGTGATCACATGCCTTATCTTGGCCAAATCTCCGAAGTGACGACCCATTGTTCCAAAAAAAGCTGATCTAAGAGAAATTCAATTCAAGGTTCTCTTTAGTAATGTTTAAAATAAAATAAGCATACACTTCCTAAACAGCAGTATGAGCTCACAGGAATAAATGACTTTTTTTTTATTATACATTATAAATGCATAAAAAATATTTATTTATTTTATTTAAATAAATTCATTACGACCATAAGTTTACTTTTCCTATTCAATATTAATCAAAAAAATTAATAATTTGTATTGTTGAATTTCTTATTGTATCCATTCAATAATTAAATCAATTAATTTGAATATATTGTAAATTTGAACAACATATAAACAGCTGTTGTACATGAACAAAACCAGGCTTAGAATACAATACTGTAAAATATATCAAATGTTACACATTAAAAACGTTCATACAATTTACTACGTGGAAACTGTATTAACTAATATAACGGAACTGATCAATTCAATATTACTTTGATAAACACGACTCAAACGCAACCGGTTGCATAAACTAGTCTTAAAAAGTTAGTCATCTAATTTTTTTTTCTTCAAGACTGGTCATAACTTTTTTAAATTCAGTTATGAAAAGGCAGATTGGTCTTATTTGCATTAGAAAGTATGACTGATTTGGCAACTGCGAGCTGGTCAAACTAGTGTCTTAAAACACAGTCTTAACATGGTGGCTAACTTTATGCAACTGACCCCTGTACATGATCTAGCAAAGATGAAAGATATGAATGAACACAGAGTGCAGACAAAACTCATTTATACATTTATAGGTAGCTTTACGTGGCTAGGCTAGCAGCTTTCTGTAAGACCTTGCTTCTCTATCGCACTGTCTCTGTTTATACATGCATACTTCACAGACATACATGCAATTGCTACATTTAAATTAAGATATTATCGAATAAAAATACAAGGAAAGGAAAGCTTTTTCTGCTGACCAACCTCACTGCTCTTTGACACCCTTGTCGTGCTATGGATTCTACAACTTCCGCCTGCAACCTTAAGTCACATCCGTTTCCGCTTGATTTCTCGCTTTCTCATTGGCGCTCCGTTCTACTGTTTCCTGGCTATCGAGACACGTGAAGGTCAGCATAGCGCTCGAACACAGTGTACACAGTTGTCAAATATCACCATTAAGCGATTATTTGCCATTGTTTTCCCCAATGGATAATCAAGGAGTCACGGCAGACCCTCAACTGCAGCAGTTTATCGAGATCGAGTCTCAGAAGCAGAGGTTTCAGCAGCTGGTTCATCAGATGACAGAAGTGTGCTGGGTGAGTGTGTGTGTGTGTGTGTCCTACTGGGCTGCATAATGCATTACTTCATGAGGATGCATAAGACAATGAAAGAAAATCACTTTAGTTGTTCGCAAGTTTATATGATCTATAGATGTTTTTTTATGTTGTTTAAGTATTAAGTAAAATGTTCTGCCCTCTTTTTTCGCGCAGCTTGTGACTCTTTATTATATAAAACAGTTAAAGCATATTTTCATATTTAATTTTTTATATTATTGATTTGTTAAAATAGCTATTTATCTTGATTATACACGCACACATACAAAATACAATTCAAAGGGTTGGGATAAGTAAAATTCACAGCTCTCCCGAGGCTGAATTTATTTGATCAAAAACTTATTTGTAAAAATGTGATTTATTTCTTTGTTGGCAAAGTTTGCTGTCCGCAGCTATTACTCCCATCTTCAGTATCACATCAGCATACGCTGATTTACTGCTCCAGAAACATTTCTTTGTTGAAAGCAGTTGTGCCTCTTAATAGCTTGTGTGTTTTTATTAGGATTCTTTGAAGTTCATAAGAACAGCATTTATTTGAAATAGAGTAACATTATAAGTCTTTACCGCCTTGCAGAATAAAAGTATTTATTTACGGAAGAAAAAAAACTTACTGACCTCAATCTTTTAAACAATAGTGTATTTATTGTTACATTAATTACTTGTTAAAAGAGCTGAATATCATGAGATGCATCAAGATCATCAGTTATGGGTTTCTTTGCAGCTCATAGTGTGTTTTTCACTTTGCAGGAGAAGTGCATGGATAAGCCTGGCCCGAAGCTCGACTCCAGGACAGAGGTGTGTTTTGTAAACTGTGTGGAACGATTTATCGATACAAGTCAATTCATTCTCAACAGACTAGAACAAACTCAGAGGAGTAGAGGAACCTTTTCTGAGACCATGACAGACTAGTAGAAGCACAGCCAATGACAAGACCGCATCATTCAGCCACTTACTGAGGCTTTTGCAGGCCAACGTGAGAACTGTGAGGCAACAGCCATCAACAGGATTCAATTCCTTTCTCAAAGACAAAGTGCCTCATTTTGCGGTTTATTATTGTAAAGGCCATATTCAAAATCAAATGGATGCATGTCCCAGTCCCATAGCCTGTTTATAGTCACTGTCGATATGGACTTTTCCCAGTGCTAAGACTTTGGTATGAAATCAAGGAAGCATCATGGAACATCAACTGAAAGGTGCCTTTGTACGGATCTGATCTGGAATTTAGGAGGAGGCTCTGCTTTCGCTTTCTCTTCAACTTACATACCAAGTCTGCACTCCGTTGTCTTACTGGGAACGCTTCAAGATCTGTGGCTTATTCAGTGCATGTTGAAATGTGGACTTGAAATAAAAAGATAAAATACCTCCTGCAGTTATTCATATGATGTATAAAAATGAGAAAGCAGAGGTAAAGTTAAATACTATTAGACATCTCAGAGGTTTCAGTGTCCTATTTATAAAAATAATAGCAATGCACCACCTGAGAAATGTAGCTGTTGATAAAAAAAAAAAAAGTTTTCTAAATATGAAGATGTGTGTTCCCCTAACACTAGTATAGCACATTAACACAACTGTTGAAAAGTTTGGGGTCAGGAAGATTTTTTTGAAGGTTACTTTTATATAGCAAGGATGCATTAAATTGATCAAAAGTGACAAAAGATTTAGGTTTCAAATAAATGCGGTTCCTTTGAACTTTAATGTATTAAAGAATCCTGAAAAATGTATCACTGTTTTCACAAAAATATTAAGTAGCACAACTGTTTTCATGATAATAAGAAATGTTTCTTGAGCAGCAAATCAGCATATTAGAATTATTACTGAAGGATCATGTAACACTGAAGACTGGAGTAATGACTTGTTGAAAATCACCTCTGCCATCACAGGAATAAATTGCTTTTAAAATATATTAAAATAGAATATAGTTATTCTAATTTGTAATAATATTTCAAAATATTACAATTCTGACAGTATTTTTGATCAAATATAAAGACAGATTTGGACAGAATAAAATAATTATTTCAAAATATAAAAAAACTTATGACCCCAAACTAATAAGTAGTAGTGTATAGGTATTCTAGTAAAGCACATTGTATTAAACAAAATCATGCTTTTATTGAAAGGATGAGGCATTAAAAAGGTGTTTGATATGAATATAATTCTATGTATATTATAAACCAGGCTGGTTTGATCATAAAATAAATAATGTAACATTTAATAAGATGTTGTACAGCAGATTTTTTAACACTGTTGCTACTTCAGGATATTTAAAAAACAAATGACTAGGCACATCATCGTTAAAATCGCAAGATGGAAATAGAAATATTAGTAAATATTGTATACTTAAAAAAAAAAAGCAAATTAAAGTACTCTCACAAGGATCTGCAAGGGGGAATGGCAGAGGATCCCCAAATCCAGGTGTGAAGAACTTGTTGCATCTTTCCCAAAAAGACTTATGGCTGTATTAGATCAAAAGGGTGTTTCTACTAAATACTGAGCAAAGGGTCTGAATACTTAGGACCATGTGATATTTCAGTTTTTCTTTTTTAATAAATCTGCAAAAATGTCAACAATTCTGTGTTTTTCTGTCAATATGGGGTGCTGTGTGTACATTAATGAGGAAAAAAAATTAACTTAAATGATTTTAGCAAATGGCTGCAATATAACAAAGAGTGAAAAATTTAAGGGGGTCTGAATACTTTCCGTACCCACTGTATATATGTAATAGCAATGCACCACCTGAGAAATGTAGCTGTTGATAAAAAAAAAAAAAGTTTTCTAAATATGAAGATGTGTGTTCCCCTAACACTAGTATAGCACATTAACACAACTGTTGAAAAGTTTGGGGTCAGGAAGATTTTTTTGAAGGTTACTTTTATATAGCAAGGATGCATTAAATTGATCAAAAGTGACAAAAGATTTAGGTTTCAAATAAATGCGGTTCCTTCGAACTTTAATGTATTAAAGAATCCTGAAAAATGTATCACTGTTTTCACAAAAATATTAAGTAGCACAACTGTTTTCATGATAATAAGAAATGTTTCTTGAGCAGCAAATCAGCATATTAGAATTATTACTGAAGGATCATGTAACACTGAAGACTGGAGTAATGACTTGTTGAAAATCACCTCTGCCATCACAGGAATAAATTGCTTTTAAAATATATTAAAATAGAATATAGTTATTCTAATTTGTAATAATATTTCACAATATTACAATTCTGACAGTATTTTTGATCAAATATAAAGACAGATTTGGACAGAATAAAATAATTATTTCAAAATATAAAAAAACTTATGACCCCAAACTAATAAGTAGTAGTGTATAGGTATTCTAGTAAAGCACATTGTATTAAACAAAATCATGCTTTTATTGAAAGGATGAGGCATTAAAAAGGTGTTTGATATGAATATAATTCTATGTATATTATAAACCAGGCTGGTTTGATCATAAAATAAATAATGTAACATTTAATAAGATGTTGTACAGCAGATTTTTTAACACTGTTGCTACTTCAGGATATTTAAAAAACAAATGACTAGGCACATCATCGTTAAAATCGCAAGATGGAAATAGAAATATTAGTAAATATTGTATACTAAAAAAAAAAGCAAATTAAAGTACTCTCACAGTATTAATGGTTTGCACTGTATGCCTGTACAGTAGCATACGTCGGTGTTTTAGTAGTCACTCACGTAAGCATTTTTGCTGATACTATGCTAAGTAATAAATGTACCATTGCTCCTTTTGTCTGAACTCTCAGGAAAAAAGCTCTTTGCATTTCTTTCTTTAGTCAGATTGCTTTCATCCATCATAGTAGTTCTCTCTTCGGTTGGCAAAGCAATGTATGGTTGGTCTTGAGGGCCAAGGTGCAGATATAAAGGTAGAGAGTCCAGCTTAAAGTTGATATCCTTGAACGCATGGAGAAGAAAAATGCCAACGATGATGGTAAGAAAGCCACTAACAGTCCCAGCAGCCCCGTCGGCAGACATTTGAAGCCACTCTTTAAACAAGATGGCTGAACAAGCCATGACAGATGTGGTGAAGAAGACATAGTAAATAGGTGTAACTATAGAAGTGTTGAAGATGTCAAGGGCTTTATTAAGGTAGCTTATCTGGATACTGATGCAGATCACAAGGCATATGAGAAGGGCCCAGAACAGCGGCTCTTTCAGAACGGCCGTTCCAGCGAACAGCTCTTTGATCCCAATGCCAAGGCCTTTCACACACGACACAGACAATGAACCAATCACAGAGCAGATGAGGATGTACACCAGCACATTCTTCTGACCGTAGCGAGGTGCGACAAAGAAGATCAGGAATTTAAAAAACAAATGACTAGGCACATCATCGTTAAAATCGCAAGATGGAAATAGAAATATTAGTAAATATTGTATACTAAAAAAAAAAGCAAATTAAAGTACTCTCACAGTATTAATGGTTTGCACTGTATGCCTGTACAGTAGCATACGTCGGTGTTTTAGTAGTCACTCACGTAAGCATTTTTGCTGATACTATGCTAAGTAATAAATGTACCATTGCTCCTTTTGTCTGAACTCTCAGGAAAAAAGCTCTTTGCATTTCTTTCTTTAGTCAGATTGCTTTCATCCATCATAGTAGTTCTCTCTTCGGTTGGCAAAGCAATGTATGGTTGGTCTTGAGGGCCAAGGTGCAGATATAAAGGTAGAGAGTCCAGCTTAAAGTTGATATCCTTGAACGCATGGAGAAGAAAAATGCCAACGATGATGGTAAGAAAGCCACTAACAGTCCCAGCAGCCCCGTCGGCAGACATTTGAAGCCACTCTTTGAACAAGATGGCTGAACAAGCCATGACAGATGTGGTGAAGAAGACATAGTAAATAGGTGTAACTATAGAAGTGTTGAAGATGTCAAGGGCTTTATTAAGGTAGCTTATCTGGATACTGATGCAGATCACAAGGCATATGAGAAGGGCCCAGAACAGCGGCTCTTTCAGAACGGCCGTTCCAGCGAACAGCTCTTTGATCCCAATGCCAAGGCCTTTCACACACGACACAGACAATGAACCAATCACAGAGCAGATGAGGATGTACACCAGCACATTCTTCTGACCGTAGCGAGGTGCGACAAAGAAGATCAGGGCCAGGCTGCTGACGACAATGCAGACAGCAAAAGCGATGAATCCTGTGATACATGCAAGAGAGACGACTATAATGAAAAACAGCTCAGAGCTCACAGTATGCCTAGTGTGTTTGTAAATTAGGTAGAAGAATACCTGGATCTTTCAGTTTCTCTGCCATTGCAGTCAGAGAAGCAACCTCTTCCTCTTGCGGAGCATGGAGCACCATAACAGTGGAACCGAAGATGCACAGCAAACAGCCAATTTTCCCGTGGATATTCAGCCGCTCACTCAGGAAGTATGATGAAAGCACAGCACTAATGACAAAAATCACATTTTAGACAAAGAATTTATTTATTTGATCAAAAGTGATGGTAAAGACATTTATAACGTTACAAAATATTTCTATTTCAAATAAATGCTGTTATTTTTAACTTTCTACTTCCTATTTCTATATCCTGAAAAATATTACATTTTCCACAAAACTATCACACTTCAACATTGATAATAATAAGACATATTTCTTGAGCAGCAAATCATATCTGAATGATTTCTAAAGGATCATGCGACATTGAGACTGGAGTAATGGCTGTTGAAAATTTAGCTTTTCCATCAAAGGAATAAATTTCATTTTGAATTGTAATAATATTTGTCACCCTGGACCACAAAACCAGTCATAAGTAGCAACAGCCAACAATACATTGTATAATAGTAAATAGGTGTAACTATAGAAGTGTTGAAGATGTCAAGGGCTTTATTAAGGTAGCTTATCTGGATACTGATGCAGATCACAAGGCATATGAGAAGGGCCCAGAACAGCGGCTCTTTCAGAACGGCCGTTCCAGCGAACAGCTCTTTGATCCCAATGCCAAGGCCTTTCACACACGACACAGACAACGAACCAATCACAGAGCAGATGAGGATGTACACCAGCACATTCTTCTGACCGTAGCGAGGTGCGACAAAGAAGATCAGGGCCAGGCTGCTGACGACAATGCAGACAGCAAAAGCGATGAATCCTGTGATACATGCAAGAGAGACGACTATAATGAAAAACAGCTCAGAGCTCACAGTATGCCTAGTGTGTTTGTAAATTAGGTAGAAGAATACCTGGATCTTTCAGTTTCTCTGCCATTGCAGTCAGAGAAGCAACCTCTTCCTCTTGCGGAGCATGGAGCACCATAACAGTGGAACCGAAGATGCACAGCAAACAACCAATTTTCCCGTGGATATTCAGCCGCTCACTCAGGAAGTATGATGAAAGCACAGCACTAATGACAAAAATCACATTTTAGACAAAGAATTTATTTATTTGATCAAAAGTGATGGTAAAGACATTTATAACGTTACAAAAGATTTCTATTTCAAATAAATGCTGTTATTTTTAACTTTCTACTTCCTATTTCTATATCCTGAAAAATATGACATTTTCCACAAAACTATCACACTTCAACATTGATAATAATAAGACATTTCTTGAGCAGCAAATCATATCTGAATGATTTCTAAAGGATCATGCGACATTGAGACTGGAGTAATGGCTGTTGAAAATTTAGCTTTTCCATCAAAGGAATAAATTACATTAAAAAAAATATTAAAATAGAAAACAGTCATTTTGAATTGTAATAATATTTGTCACCCTGGACCACAAAACCAGTCATAAGTAGCAACAGCCAACAATACATTGTATAGGTCAAAATTATTGATTTTTCATGCGTTTATGACTACAGACAATGCACAACCACAGCATTTGCAAACAAGGAAAGCTACTTTTTAGAATGATTTAGGTAGATTTTGATTGTCTCACTAACCTTTTATGTATTTTGTGCTAGCAGGCAGTGATGTTTCATGTTTCGGCACTTAGTTATATTAACATTTAAGACTACACTTGAAACACTATAGAAATATGAATACTTGTTAAACTGACTAACCTTGCACTCGAATCTTCCATAGGTGGCGTTTTAGTCTCGTGTGAATAAACTTCCTGGTGAAGTGACTGTAACGCGGGTTGCCAGATACTCTCGATTAACTTCAAATATTGTCAGTCTGGACATTTTGGGGGGATTTATCTAAACTGAATTTGGTGAAATTGTATAAACGGTGTCATTTTGTGTCAGATGTCTTCTTTCGAAACCCCTCAGGTATGTAAACATTAATATCAAGTGTTTCATCAAGTGTTCCACTGTCTAAAATTAAATTTTTTTAAAATTAGTTTGTATTTTGATGATAAAATATGAATATGCGTCAAGGTTAGTTTGGACCAGGCCAGGAGACCTTTTTAGACTTTTTAAAAAAGAGACCAACCTTAAGTATGTGCTCCAAAGCATTCACAATTTATAACAATTTAATAGACATTAAAAAAATGTCATTTTCAGGTCTATGCTCAAAAAGTGGAACCGACAGATAACAGGTTAAAATAGATACCTTTTAATCCAAATTATGCTTGTTCAAGTAGAACCGGCACTTAAAAGAACCGGCACTGTTCATCAAACAAGTGTTTATTGACATTAATGGTGACAAATACATAATTTCAAATAGCATTAAAAGAGTGACAAAAATCAGTGGCGGCAGAGGAATATTGGAAACTGCTCTCATTTTATTCAATAAACAGCCAAATGAAAAAGACAAAGTGTAGTCTTTAATTAAATAGCCATCAGATTTCAACCACAGAAGACAAGGTGAAAAACAAATATTTACACATCAAGGCTGGAAGATTTCTTCTAGATCGTACTTTGTTTTACTAAAGTTGACTTATTTATATAAATTCTTTTGTATATAAATACACAGCCAAATCAATAAAAATCAATACACAGTCATTATTTATGTACATGTGCATTACAGTCATGAATTTTTATTTGTATTGTTGTTGCTGCTGCTGGTTATCATTAATAATTTAAAAAATATTAAAGAGTAGCTTTTGATTTAGATATGAAACATAGGGATTTCATAATATGCTAAAGCTTTGAGGAAAATGTAAGGAAAGACTGCAATCTTACATGAGAAATCACATTCCAATCTCCTTTTTTTCTTGTAAAATTTTGAACTCATACTCATTTATCCAAGAAGTGCCTAACTCTGAATTCACATTATTGGGTTCCTTAGATTAAAGAAATTAAGGAGGTTATTCAAGACTGACAAAAATAATGATTCTTGCTGTTCCATACACAAGATTGCATATGATGGACTGTATCCTTAATGTCCAAGGGTGCTCAGTAGTTATGTGTATTACATATTGAAAAGCAAATCCTTAATGGTCATGACAAGATCGTTGAATGTGGGCCGCTCATCTGGTCTCTACAAAAAGAGAACAAAAAAGAAGAGAGAGAGAGATTTTTAATGACCTTAATTACTTGACTATTGTCATGTTTACATTTGCATGATCAGATAACTGTTTTGATTCACAAAATGTTTTGACTTAGTATAAACTGTGTACCTCATGCCAACAACTGTTCATAATGGAATAAACTTTGTCATTGGCCAACTGTGGGCGATAAAGCCGATGACCTGCAGTAATTTTCTCTACTATCTCTGTGTTGTTCCACCGATCGTATGGCATTCTGCCCAAAGTGAACACCTCCCACATTAACACACCTGTCAAACAAATAATACAAGAGAAAATGAAACCATGATTTTGGCAGAAGGTAAAATTCAGCTGGAAATGCAGTGGTGACACACCAAATGCCCAGATATCTGACTTGCTGCTGAACTTGCAATAAAGGAGGACTTCAGGAGGCGACCAGCGCACTGGAAACTTTGAACCTACGGAGCTGGTGTATTCATCATCCAGAACATACCTGTAAGAAAAGCAGTCATTTTTATATAGAAAGTCAGTATTAGAGAATTTCACTCAAATAGTGTCCTGGTCCATGCATAAAATTACCTGGACAATCCAAAATCAGTCACTTTAATGGTTCCATTTGAGTCTACTAAACAGTTCCTGGCAGCCTATGAGAAAAAAACGAACATTTTAATGGTAAAATAGGTCTTCCAGGTGGAAAGGAACATTTTTGTGTCACACAAACCAGGTCTCTGTGGATGTACTGATTGTCCTCTAAGTAGGACATGCTCTCGCTGATATCTTTACACATCTCAAGGAGCAAAATACTCGAGGGGTGCTGCAGAACATCCCGTAAGTAATTCAGCAGACATCCATTGGCAAGATATTCTGTGACTATGTAGATGGGTCGCTGTTTTGTGCAGACGCCATAGAGCTGAACCAGGTTTTTATGACACAGTTTCCTAGTGTTATACAGCAGAAAATGATAGATTATAGACATAAACATGTTTGAAACAGATCAAAAATACAGTAAAACAGATTAATATTGTGAAATATTACTACAATTTAATATAACTGTTTACTGTTTGAATATCTTTTAAAATGGAATGTATTCCTGTGGTGTCAAGCAAAGCATTACTAAAGTCTTCAGTGTCACACGATCCTTCAGTAATCATTCTAATATTAATCACTCTAATAATGTGGTGCCCAAGATACATTTCTTCTTATTATCAGTGTTGAAAACAGTTGTGCTACTCAATTTTGCGGAAACCATTTTTTCAGGATATTTTGATGAATAGAAAGTTGAAAAGATCAGCATTTATGTGAACTCTTTGCTGAAAAAAAATCTTACTAACACCATACTTTTGTTTAACAACAGTGTAAACTTACATCATGACCTTGGCTTCCTCAATGAAGTCATCCTCTGACATAGAGCCCTCTTTGACCATTTTGATGGCCACGTCATGACGGCCTTGCCATTTCCCATACTTTACCACTCCAAACTGACCATTGCCAAGTTCTCTGATAAATGTAAGCTGACGGGGATCAATCTCCCAACTTCCTGGAATGAAAAGTAGGAGAAGAGAGCAATTTTAGCACACAGTTTTAATCAAACCCACAGTGAGAGCAGCCAAGTATTTACATTTACATTTTTACATTTATGCATTTGGCAGGTGCGTTTATCACAAAACAACTTGCATTGTATTCAAGCTATGCATTTTATCAGTTCATGCATTCCCTAGGAATCAAACCCATGACCTAGGCGTTGCTAGTGCCATGCTAAACAAATATAAACTCACCATAACCCAGACCAGCAGTGCAGGGAGCACTCTGAGCTCGATTTGACACAATGTATTTTAGTCTGCTCACCAGACCTGAAACAGACATATTTGCTTTGATTAAATACTTTTACACCGATGATTTGTCATTGTGTATTTGCATACAAGTAGTTAAAGTTAGATTTACCTGCTGCATTATGCTGGTGGTAATTAATAAGTTCTGGGATACTGCTGAAGTTGTGCTTCTCTGCTAAATAGAACTGGCCTTCTGCGGTGACGCATATGTTGTAGTGCCTGCAGCTGCCAACAGTCTCCCTGGAGAGAGACAAGAAATGAAATTCTCACAGTTACTTGGGAATCAAGTCAAATCCTTAATTTGTCTCACAAAAAACTTGAGAGATGAACAGCACAGTCCCGTGACAATTTACACAGTGGGAAACCTGACCTATGATAGTTTTGCAAAGAGAGATTTACATCTCTCTTCTGTAGGGTCAGTTTTCCACTTTCATTTTGATAAGTTAACTGTGAAACAAATGTGTAGCTTTATCGAACTTACCCACCAGCCTTGGTGAACACAGAGACAGTGTATTTTCCAGTGAATCTGCCAGAGTCTCTCACCAAAAAACCACCATCTTTATTCTATTTCAGAATATAAATGAAACAAATATATAGAGTGAATTCAGCTCAGCAGTGCCACCTTTTAAAAATCATATATATATACTGTATATATATATATATATATATATATATATATATATATTAGAAAAATAGATGTATTTTTAATAATCATGGAGTTTATATACAGATTTTTTGTTTTTGAGGATAAATAAACCACATTTTTGATTGCCACCACAGCTCTATACTAACTTCTGTTTTCAGCAAATTCTCTGCCTGGCTGCGGTTGATGTTTTTGCAGTACCAACTAGGAGACAGAAAATCTGTTAAAATGTGGTTGGACCATGTTTATAAGGTTTAAAAGTGTTCACCTTTTCAAACTAGACGAACTGAGGTTGTCTATGTTCTCGAATGTATACTTACTCATATTTCTCCAATCCATTTAAGGCCTGAGTGATGTAGTTACTTGGGATGTATCCTTCATTTCTGTAAACAGTGTAGGAGATCAGTAATGATTTTCATATCTGAAAAAAAACACAGCCCTGATTGCACAGCTAGTTCCACCTGACTACCTTTCGCCCACAGCCTGTAAAAGTTTTCCCAGATATGTAAATAATTTGACAGGTGTCTACGTATGTGTTTATCAAATACATTCTCCACTAGCACATTCATACTATATATCTGTTGTATACAACAGATAGATCGATTACTAATAATATACTTAATCATCGTCTCTTACCCGTATTTATCGCTAGCTTTAAACCAATTGGGATCATTGATTTCTAAGAGTGTGTACTCCTCATCCTTTCTCAGCTCCAAGTCATGGGGAGTCATTGGTACATATTCATATTCAGCTACAATAGTCATGCCCACACTGAAGCCTGGGGTGAGCATGAGTGGCTGGGGGGGCAGAGGCCTGGGCGGCTTTTCCTAAGGAAGTAACATAGATCAGTTCTCAAGAGTAAATCTGATGGTACGTGATGAATACATTGTCAGTGATTGGATAGATTGGTAACAGACCTCCTCTGGTGTTGGTGGAAGAGGCTTCCTGGAATCACGATTCTTCGAACTCCTTTTGAAAAACCCTTTGAAGAAGGGTAAAAGATATTGACATGTATTGATGAAATACAAATGAGTTTAAGCACAATTAGCTATTAAATACTGCACCATACTTAAGTGTTGAAATTATGCCTTGTTGAATAGGGATGGAAATCGTAAAGAATCATTAATGTTGCCCCATTAATGATTCTTTCAGCACGTTTAGAGAATAAATATTTGAAA